GCTTTGATTGATGGCATTTGTAGTTTCAACTTTCTCTTTTCTTTTCAGGAGGGTTTTTAAAGAGCCGAGGAATGGGTTCAGGTAACCGGAGATCAACAGGAAAACCTGTTGGGTTAAATTTTCCCAAAGGAGCTCAAACTGGCTCCCAGAACAGTTAGATGAAGACCTTAGACGCAGCGTCAGTAAGCAGGGAAGGTGTTTGAATGTTTATAACTGTTGTGCCCTAAAGGGACTACGCAGAGGTAAAGGATTATGGGAAGCTGTGGAGAGGATACTGTGGTAAGAAACAGATTGTAAAATATTAAATTGTTACAATGTGAAATTTTGAAAATGTGAGTTCAGTCCATTTTTTTGTAAAAATATGGGTAGAAGGACCCAAAGAGGTCAACTAGTTGCGTGGAGTCGCACAGCTGGTTAGCAGCAGAGGCGTAGCCACTCCCGGACCCGCTTCCCGCCCACCTGCGACACACATGCTCTCGTCCCGCTGCGACACTTCCTGGAAGGGAATGGTTTAGTTCAGCCCGGATCTGCAGCCCCAATTTTGCTACCTGCCTTTCCTAACGAAGTGGACTTAAGGCCCCAATTGTTGAGGTTCAAGAACATCAAAAGCTAACAACTAGGAATGAATAAATAAATCAAACAGAAATGAATGAGTTGCTCAGAAAGTAAGTTTCCAAAATTTTGTAATAATCATTATAATAGTTTGACATTATGCGTTCCATTTATATCAAAACTAAAAAGTGGCGCAGTTATAACAATACGTGACTATATGACTATAGCTAATCATCGGATGAAGTGTTGGTACTGTTTGAGTTCCTGTGCGAACTTTGCCTAAACTTTGATTCTCTCATAACTGAGATGTGACTTCCAACGTCAAAACTGCAAGGAGTCATTCATTTCAACAAAGAAGAGAATGCTCTCATTTCATACAAAGAAATCTAGCTGAGGCAACCGAACATTCTGATGGCCACATTTGGAGGCAAATACATTATGGTAATAACTCCTAGAAATTAGTTCGCTTCGAAAAAGGGGATAATTTGGTACACAGTCCTGAATCATGGTGCCTTCATGGCAGTCCTGAAACAGGTGACTGCCCCGTGGCTCAGGCTGCCCTGTGAATCAGTAACACTCTAGATGAAGGTGAGAAAGGAGGAGAGTCCTATGCTGGCTATTTTCTCATAATATGCTCAGGGTTTGTGAGAATAAAATATATTTGATGTATTCACAGCCACAAACCACAAGCTAAAAAATAATCAGATAAATCTGCTTTCAAACTCTAGCCTCAGAGTAATGATTAAATAAGAAAATATATTGTTAAGGCCATACTCTCTTCCACTGTCGATGAAAAGGAGCCTGTGAAAAAATAAGAAAGAAATAACAAGTGATAATCAATATGCAAAGTAATGTTGCTAGGCTAGACAAAAAGTAACCATTTGTAAGATGGAAATATTATAGTCCATTGTGCAAAAATGTGCCGTCACCTTCTCCCGTCCCTCCTCTCTCCCAGGAGCAAACATCATCAAAAAACAGGAAAATTGGAGTATATGGTGAGAAAAGTAAATGGACTNGTCCCTCCTCTCTCCCAGGAGCAAACATCAAAAAACAGGAAAATTGGAGTATATGGTGAGAAAAGTAAATGGACTGTGTAAACAAAAGATATGATGCTGACATTTTTGGAAAACATTTTAGTCATTGATTTTTTTTAATGACTTTGCCTTTGGGATCTTTATAACTGTGAGTTTTGAATAACATTTCTTTTTTGAATCCTCCATTTGAGCTTAAGATTTCTTGTACTTGGGAGGTGTTTCTGATCTAAAGAGAAACACTGCATTCTTTTTGTGTGGATTCTCAGAAATCTAAGGGTGTAAGGATGAGGTGTTGAATGCTATAGATAACTTTATCAAGTTCCTCCTTGCTTACCCAGGAAAATGCCATGATTTGTTTCCTTCTACAAATTAATGGTGCTGAATTCAAAAATCTTTTTTGCTCCCTGTTTGTCATAGTGTTACTCTAATCATTTATTTGAGTTTAGATTTAACAAGTTGATATTTCATCTCCAATTCACTCAGCTTGACAGGTGTGTCATAAAAGGAATCATTAATTGCATCAAACCTCCGCTGTTATTTACCATTATGTGTTCTAAAATGACTTCTCAACTCCAGAAAACCAGATATTTTCCTATTGTTTCATTCTTGTCTCAGTTTCCCAAGTAGTTTCTATTTTAGTAAATTAGAATCAATCTAAATGTGATAGCTAAATTGACTCTATAATGATTCCTGGATTTAAAAGTCCATGTATTTTAGTGTAAGTGTGGATGTATAACTTTATGTGTGCAAATATACTCAATATGACAATTTTTATATAGGCATATATCTTTTTTTAATGTTCCTTCTCTAATAGAAGGTGAGAGAGAATTGTGTTAATTTAGTGGAGCAAGAACCTGCAGGAGGTTAAGGTCCAACATTACTTTTTGTTATGGCTGAGCTGCTTCTCAATTGCTATTCTCAGACATTTTTGTTAGCTCTGCTTTAAAATGAGATTTGCAGCTAGAGTGGAGGAAATTCAAGTGAGATTACAGTTGATTATAAACTGCCTTCTCAATTTCAAAGGAAAAAGCATGTGAAGTGTTTTAGAGAAAAATTTGATAAATTTATTTTTGAATTCTGACATCTGGAATATCAGGCAGTTTCTTTTCTTTTATATTTATTCCAAACTAAATCTGTAATTTAAAGTAAAAGAGAAAGTTGCTTTTATTTATAAAAATAGCATTCCTATAGACATAGCACATGTAAAATATTACGAATAAAATTAGTTTCTATGTTACTTTACAATATTAGTTTGTGATTTGAAAATTACTAATAAGTCTTAAGGTTATATCTTAGATGGTTCAGCATTATCTAGCCATTTTATACAGTCTTTAGAATTCAGAAACTACTCTTTGGAAAATGGGAATATGTGTGCATGTCTTATTCGTGATTTTTGGTTGATAATGTCTGACTTTAAATCCTAGCTCTGCCATCTTAGACTGATTTGGGTAAATCATTGACTCTTCAGTACTTGAGGTTCCTCACCTCTAAAAATGGAGAAAATATACTACCTCTCAGGGTTCTTGTGATAATTAAATGAGAAAAATATGTGAATGCACTTGTAAACTAGGTGATATGGAATGAAAATAAAACCCTCCCTTTTACTTTGTTTATGAGAAGCACCGGGCTGCTGGCTTCCCTGTTCAAAGAGTGGGATGAGTTAAGACTGCATTCTTCCTTCCCTCTCCTTCCTCCTCTCTCTTGTCTTTTAGTTGTTTTCAGGGTGATTTAAGCTATGAATCCCTTTGCCTCCTGCCCTCTATCATCCTGTCACACTCCCTGTGCACCAACCCCCACCCTGTGTGCTCAGGCGTGTTCCACTAGGAGTACAGATAAGACTAGCCTGTGCCTAAGTTAGAAAGCCTCTTTGTTCTATTTTAAATTCTGAACCTTTATAAACTGTCAACTTTCCTGTAGAAGGGGCTCAGACTTCGGAGTTGGGACTCCTCTGGGCCTGCTGGCATAAAATAAACCTCCTGAACCCCCCAGCCTCCGAGTGCCGCTTGGTCTTTTCATAAGGTGGACATCTCCGGTTCCATAACACAGGAAACATATTATCACAACCGTGGTAGATTCTTACAGTACTGGTCCTCTGAGAGTCAGATCTGCCTGTCCACTCCCCTCTACAGTGGGACTGCCACACTTCCCACCAAGAGGTAGGGTTTGTTCCCTCACCCCTTGACTGGAACTGAATCCCTGACTTATTTTTACCAAAACAATGTTCTGGCATGTAACTTTCCAGCCTAGCCTTCCAGTCTGGCCTTCTTATTTATTTGGATACTTTCATGCTCTGAAGAAAGCCAGGAGGTTGGACTCCATGAGGAGAGGAACCC